ACAACCCCGTAACAATATGCGTTTTGTACTGCTGTTACACAGCACAAAACGCATAATAACAAAAATACGGTATTTAAAAAAAAAAAAAAACAAAGATCTTTCACAAGGATAACATCGGAAGTTCACGAAGATGCCCGGTCAATCTTCTGGAGCCGAAAGTATGTAATCGACGCTAAATCCAGGAATCTTTGGCGAGACAAGTTTCATATCCAGACGTATGTGCTGTACGTCACTCTCGTCCAGAGAAAGCTTTACTTTAATGCGACTGAAACTTCGCACTTCGGTTCCTTCTGCCACTAAGAGGTCATCGGTCACCTGATAATTCGATCCAACTGGAAAAACAACCACCGATTCGAAGCCATACGCTGGTACAAATACCTGTAACAAATTATGAAAATTCGGTGTTGATAGAAAAATTTGATTTTTCAAAAAAAAAAAGAAAAAAGAAGGGAAAAAAGCTACTTGCAACAAATCGTGAAAATTTAGTGCTGGTAGCAAAATTTGATTTTTCAAAAAAAAAAAAAAAGGAAAAAAAGCTAAAGGCCCTGCAGTGCTGCTGGTTTTTATTCGTCCTTTGGTACTATAATTTCAATTGATAAAACTCTCAACAAGTAGCTGGAAAATAAATTAAGTTTTTTCGAGAAAACTTTGCGGAAATTTGAATTTTTACTCAAGCTGCAAAAAAAAAAAAACAATTTCAGCGGGATTTTTGCGATGAGAAAACGATGTAATTTCGGTGGGATAAAGAAGAGAATTTTGGGAAGATGTTTCTTTATCTTTATCCCGCCAAAATTACGTCTTTTTCTCCCGCAAAAAGCGGGGCGGAAGGTGGGGACAGGAAGCGGGGCGGGGGGCGGGGGAAATACAGTGCATTAATATATCTTATTCCCTCTTACTAACCAGCTATAACCATCACTAGTGATGAAAAAAAAAGTTATTAGAAAAATGACATTCACGTACAACATATGTGACTAGTAATGCTGGCAACTTTGCATGTACTATTTTGGGAAATCTTTCAATTTTAATCTTTTTTTTTTGTTTTTTTTTTTCAACTGGAATATCGTTATAACTATCTCGCCAGCATGAAAAAAAATATTATTGTTGCATCATGACTCACTCCCCGGTAAATCGTGTAATGGCGTGAAAGCGGCCTATATAAGGTCGTCGTGTTTGTACTCTAAAGTAATATCGATTCAGTGGAGTGCTGGTCCAGTGTAGTGCTGTGGTATGGTGGATGACTCATGAGGGGCGTGGACCCGGCTGCTACTCCGAATTATCGCCGAGGAGCCGACGATTCGACTCGATACACTGAAGCACCGGGCCAGTCGATGGAACGCCCAGCCAGTAAACCCAACATTATTAATGGTAGCAAACTGGCCAAAATACCTGAATGCCGTTCTTGCGTATTCCCATAACAAAACCATCGTGTAGCTCGGTACGCCCTTTGAAATACAGTAATGTATTTAGCAAAACCGATGCTCTGCCTGCATACTGTGCTTGTTTATGCCTGAAAAAGCATAAAAATCTCAAACCACAAACAAAAAAATATGAGTGAAACCACAACTCAACTGAAGAATTTATTCAAAATTGCTTCCTAAATGAGACAAACGTGGTTTCAAGCTTTTTTTTTTTTAAATAAATATCATTGAAAAATTAAAGAGGAGGCCTCCAAAAAAAGATAAACTGGACATGTTCCTGGTAGACATGACAGCAAGCAGCGCCGCTTTCAAGCTGATGAAATGGACGGTTCGTACCCTTTGAGTTTGTTCATTTATCGCATATATGAACCATGCGCTCAATTTATTAAAGCATTTGGGGAGGTCATTTAGAATAACAGTAGGAAACTTCAAAAGAAAAAGTCGAGTAAATGTTTTTGATGTGTGATGTGAGGTATTACGGGGTCGTTGTGACTAGGCAAGATGAAGCGTGAAGCATGGGCTTTATAATGTTTATCTAAATTTGACTAAAAAAAAAATATAAGTTGAACATGGCAATTAAAAAGACCTGATCGAAGACCGGTAAAATAGGTGGGAGACGAAGTGGGGCCGTACAGAGGAAGACGATTTGTTCTGGATGTTGAGTCGAGCGATCCGTGTCGAAGTCCCCGAGCTGATTCTGTCGAAATCCAAAAAGCCCGGGAATGAAGAAAACCAGGAGTTATGTAGGGGGGATTGGCCCTGCCCCTAAGAGGAGGTTCCCAACATGTTTACCTCCTTTGTATCCAGCTTAGTCGCTGAATACAATAATACATTAATTACTTTATCAAAATACACGTCAGCACTGGCTTTTGTGTTTGTACAAAATCCCGTGGGGGGTATAGGGTTGGGTCACGGTATGGATGGGAAAAAAGGAAAAGGGAAACAAGGGAAAATTTTGAAAAATGGTTTTGTTGTTGTAGAAGCTAAAAATGAATGAGTAATATTCACAGTCGGAAAGATTTGTTTTCACCACAAGTGCATTTCTTAACAAAGAAGGTGTGTCTACAGTTAATACTATGTCCAGTTCGAATCCGAATTCCTAGAAATATTAACTAAATAAGGAAAAACGCAAAGAAGCTATACCTGTAATTGAGATTATTAGCAATTTTCGTCACTAAATCACCCTTCAACATTTCTGGAAATGTGGAATCAGCATGAATTGATGCGGCAAGTAGCCTATGAACCATTATGTCGGCATATCGTCGTATTGGCGATGTGAAATGCGTGTAGATCGGTGCAGCAAGCCCAAAATGAAAATACTTCTCAGTTGGTAGGGAACCTGCAATATTCCATTACAGTTCCTTCTGTTGTTTCAAATTTTCAAATAAAAGTTGGACTTTCCAGATACATGTTCCAATAAATAGTGGCGCGCACCAGGGTAGTCGGTGCGATCATGCGTTTTGTGTAATTTTTTGTCCACCGAACAACTGCTTGCTAATGATTTTCATTGTTCTGAATTTAAATATGCGGGGTTACACGTGGGCAAGGAAAGGCTGCCCAAAATTTCAGCTTCCTAGATTCCATGGTTCCCGAGATAATAGTTTATCCACCAAAAGCTTGACAAGGCCGTGCATGTTACCGCGGGTAGGGGAAGGATGAATTTAAATTTTCTGAACTGCATGTGGGTAGGGAACAGTTCCCCAAAATTTCAGCTTTCTAGCTCCCATGGTTCCCGAGATAATAATTTTCCATGTCAAATCCGTGTTACCCGCGGGTACGGGGAGGCTGAATTTAAATTTGCGGGGTCACATGCGAGGGGGGAACATTCCCCTAAATTTTCAGCTTTCTAGCTTTTGTGGTTCTCGAGTTGAAAGTTGCGGACAAGTTGCTTTGGACAAACACAGACAGACAGACAACCCCGTGACAATATGAGTTTTGTACTGTTGTTACATAGCACAAAACACACAAAAATAGGAAAATTTAAAAGTCATACAATATGAATTACACCAAAAAAAAAAACTAAAAATATGAGAAACCTGACGAGAAATACACCGCTTGTGTCATGCAACGTGTTGTGAGCATTCTAAACAGGGTGTTCACCATTTCGTTCTTTGGATCAATGGCCATATCTAAGCTCTCCGACAAAGTTTTTCCACTTTCTACGTTCATTTTGAAACCTTTCGCTTTTGCCATCTGGAAAAAAAACAATTAAAAAAATCATGAAATTTCGAATTTTCACTCCAAAGAAATTCAAGAAATTCTTCGTCAAAAGAAAAAAGCCTTTTCAGACAGCCAAGAAAGCTAATTTTATGAAAATTTTGAGAATCATCGGGCCCTCTCTAAAGGGATATCACTTGAAAATGGTCAAACGGCCAGCAAAATGCTTTATAAAAATAAGAAAGTAAGTTAATAGGAAGGTATATTAAAAACGGATGAAAAGAGATGAACAGAAAGGAAGAGGTAAGGGATGAGAATTATAAAAATTTAAAGGATGATTTAAGGAATTTAAGGAATTTTATAAATTATTAATAAAATTATTTTAACGGGCAAAAATGTTTCGATCCATTAAGTCGTATACGTTTCTTGCCATTACCACAGTTGGACCACTACAAAAATTCTTGCCATTATAAAGTTAAAAATTAAGTTCTCTGAATAAATATGACCAAATATATCCAATCTATTTGGAAGTAAGAGTAATTATTTGTTGCTCTTACTTCAACAACTGGTTTATAATTTTCTTCTGGTGGGACCGGATGCCGACGTAGT